TTTTGTACATGACTAAAGGGATACACGCCAGTTGAGGTAGTTTAAAGTCTATTTTTTGTACAGAACTAAAGGTGTAACTAAAGCGGGGCGAGCGAGAGCTAACCACGGATTCCTGCAGCCCTGAAATGGAAACTATATTTTTGATAATTGTGGCACTAGGTGTCGTTATTTGTAAAGAAAGTGACTTGAAAAGTATTTGTAGTTTTAGATGCAGTTATGTTAATTATCTCACTTTTTTTGGCAACTCTACTCTAAACCCCTACTGGTCCACGTTTAACACTATATTTCAGCAAACAAACAAAAGAGGGTCACTAAATGACTTGCAGAGACTCACGTTGTGGCTCATGGGGATGACTACAGTCGACAGGGAGATGTGCTTGAATGACTGAAGATGTGCCCAGATTTCTTTAAACTGGTGAATCCAGAAGGAATGCTGCTGCTGGGTGGACTCATGCACAGAGTTTTCTGTCAGGGCCGTTTTTCTTTACCCGATGCAGTGATTGAAGATGTGTGTCTGTTTGTCCAGGTGTCAAACGGCTGCGTGAGTAAGATCTTGGGTCGGTATTATGAGACCGGCTCGATCCGTCCGCGGGCCATAGGAGGGAGCAAACCCAGGGTGGCGACTCCAGAAGTGGTGGGGAAGATTGCTCAGTACAAGAGAGAGTGTCCATCCATTTTTGCTTGGGAGATTAGAGACCGACTGCTGGCAGAGGGAGTCTGCACCAACGACAATATCCCCAGTGTAAGAGACCCTGTTTTCAGCCTAGTAATGCCAGCATGAGCTTTGTCTGCTGAACACTGGTACAACTCAAAAGCATGATTCTTTACTGAACCAGAGCAGGAAGATTTGATAATAGTATGCTGCCATGCTGTCACCATTTAACCCTTTATAGGTCACTCAGTGAAATATTGTGAAAATCCACATTTCCAGCCAATAGTGTTATTGGAATCCAGGACAAGACCTTACTACCATTGTAACATTAAAAAAAAGATATGGATATTTTAATGGCAAAAATGAATGTCCCTATAACAAAAAGAAACGCCAACTTGCCCAAATATATTAAGAAAAATTACAAAAGTGCTTTTATAGTAAATTCATGAAAAACACTCTCAGAGTGAAAGAAACAAAATTTTTGTTACAAAATAACCATTAGAGGCATTCCAAAAATCAATCCACTGGACTTTGTTTCCAAGTTTGAAGATGTTTCTCTTCCATCCAGGAAACTTTTTCAATTCAAAATGTCAAAAATAACATTGAGCTCCAGGTTTTATCCAGCAGCCCAACAAAGCCTTGTTTTTGCTTAGAAAACATGCAAATAGAAACTGACAAATGGATCCACCCCTTTGGAATGGGGGTCGTTTGGCTTCTTTATTAGCCTGCAATGCCCAAAACCTGTCTATGTCTTTGAAAGGGGGGTCGTTAAAGGGAATTGTTGGCCTGGCTGAAGAGGAGAGGTCTGTCGCCCTGTAATGGAGCCAGAAGGAATTCAGCTGCTGGGGGTATACACAGAGGCGCACCTTGTCAACAGGCAAACCAAGCAACTGCTTGGAGCCCCGAGCCGCTGGGGGGCCCCCGAGAGCCAGCTACTGTACACCCTGTAGATAAACAGCAACAGGCGAGCATGAAGTGGCAACGCTATAGTAACTGAGGAGATGCACAACTGCATATAAAAATTCAGATTGGATGGAATGTTGATTGACATTGGCTTTGCCCAGTCAAAATCCAGCCCAGCCCAGGTGGATGACTTCCCTTAATGAAAATGAACGTTGCCTAGCGAATGGGTGACGTTGTAGGCCTATCGTTCAGTAAATTGGAAAGCAATTATGTAACTAAGCTGAAGGAAAATGATTCATTTTCCATGTCTCAAGAGAGACTTTCAGGACTGGCGCTTATTTCCATAGAGTATAGCGTGTGAAGGTCTTTGGATCTGGAGGACTTATGTCTGCATTTGCACAAGCCAAGGCCCGTAAGCAGCAATTCTGGAAGCAGTATAGGACCCTAATAATTTCACTACACTTACTATAGCTACTTTATATTTTGTACAAAGTTTATATTGGGTTTTTAAAGTAATTTACTGTTTTTTTTTTTTATTTTATTATACATTTATTTTAATTTATTAGTTTATTCTTTACTTTTATTCTTTTATATTTTCCAAAATAACAAGGTTGTTCATGTTTAGAACATTTGGGGAAAAAAAGGTTTTATTTAATACATTTTTCATTGGTGTCAGATTATTTATAGCCTAACATAATGGTGATGAACACTGGTCAGTAGGGCCCCCTAGGATTTTTTGCCTGGGGCCCCCACAGACTCTAGAATCGCCTCTGGGTATACAATGGACCCGAGCACCTTGCCTCTTCAGCCAAGCCAACAATTCCCTTTAACGACTCCCCTTTCAGCACAGAACACAGCTCAGATAATTAAATCATTAGATGAACTTTTCATCATTTATAATAAAAGTGTATTTAATGATTATATGATAGACAAACACAAAGTAAAATCTTCAAAGTGAAAAGTTAATGTGTTTTTACCCCCCCTTTATTCTGACTCCCCTAAATAAAATCCAGTGAAAGCAGTTGGCTTTAGATCCCTTCTATTTAGTGAACAGAGCCTCTATCTTCAGAGAACGGCTGTTTAACTCCAGCTGCTTTCTGAAAGCATGAGGCGTTGCTTAAAATGGTTGCAGTTAGTCGCTGAAAATGAGCAATGCAGAGATGCATGATCATCATTTTAGTATCTTCTTACATGTTGACTGTTCAGGCCGGGTTTCACATTCTGGTTTCAAAGGTAAGCTCCTATATAGGGCCCCTCCAACTTTACAATGAATACATTTCATTTATATAGTGCCAATTCACAACACATCTTAAGGCATTTTACAGAGACAAACCAAGCAGATCATACAATCAAACTGAAAACCACTGTAAACCCCTTGGGTAAGTTTATGCCTTTGATAATGTGGGATCAGTGTGGGTCTAATCACTAGATGACCTCAGAGCTCCTCAGTTTGCACCTGAAGCAGCTCTGAGGTGAAACCTCCAACCCCACAGGTTCCTCCTCTTTCTTTCTTCTTCTAAAGAAAAGAACGCAGCATATTAACATCTGTCTCTCCTGTGACTTTGTATTCACCTCCAGGTTTCCTCAATAAATCGAGTACTTAGGAACCTGGCAACAGACAAGAATCAGATGGGAAGCGGGGCGTCTGAAGGAATGTTTGACAAACTAAAGATGCTCAACGTACATGGATCCTGGGGAGGACGCTCAGGGTGGTATGCAGGGACCCCCGTCCTCAACACGGGTGAGACATGTGCTAATCCACTGCCCAGACTCCAAAAGAAACACTCACAACTTCCTGTCAGGAGTACAGATTTAGTCTAGGAATTATCCCAAGTTTAATTTGCTCATATCTGTTTTTTCATTACTAATAAAGTCATAATCAGAGGTGGGTAGAATACCCAGAAGTACTTATGTAAGAGTAGCACTACTTCATCCTATTTTTACTCAAGTAAAAGTAAAATTTAACCTTAAAACAAAATACTCCACTAAGATTAAAAAAGTATTTGATAAAAAGGCTACTGAAGGACTGAGTAACTGATCTGCTTATTACCCATCATCATAACTGTTGATAACATTTAATGTTTTACAAAATTATTTAAAAATGAACAAAATATTCAATTCTATTCAGTTTATTTCTATAGCGCCCATTCATATCATGTCATTTCAAGGCACTTTCCAGTTCACCAGATCATCCAGTCAGATTGATTCAAAGTTTTCTACCTAAGGAAAACCAGCTGATTGCATCGACTCATTGACTCTTCAGCAATCCCTCACACTAAGCATGCTTGTAGTGACAGTGGAGAGGAAAAACTCCCTTTGAACAGGAAGAAACCTCCAGCAGAACCAGGCTCAGTGTGAGCGGCCATCTGCTGAGGCCGACTGGGGTTCAAGGAGACAGAAGCAGACATAGAAAAAGAAGCAGAGATACAAAAGGCAACTGTCAACCAGCTCCACAGGCGGCCCCGTCCAGGAAACACACAGCCAGGCAGACGAGCTCTGAGCCAGCTCCCATGTCAGAGGATGAAGAGAGCACATCCAGTTGGTCACAGTCAGAGAAACAGGACTACACTGAAAAACAGGCCAAGCTCCAACATCTAGAAACAAAGGTGTTGATGGCAGCAGCACAGCTGATATTTCTCTCCAGGATGGAGTCACAGCCAAACAGGAACAGACCAGATGAAGCTACTATGAGAAAAAGCAGAGAGAGCAGAACGTTAGAGATTGAACTTACAGATTCTGCAGAGTGGGAGAATAGAGACAGAATGCAGCAGAATGATGAAAAAGGGGTCCCTATGTCCTCCAGCAGTCTAAGCCTATAGCAGCATAACTATAGAGATAGCTCAGGATAACCTGAGCCACTCTAACTATAAGCTTTATCAAAAAGGAAAGTTTTAAGCCTAGCCTAAAAAGTAGACAGGATGTCTGCCTCACGGACTAAAACTGGTAGTTGGTCTTCCTATGAGCAATGACTTGAAGGCACAAACTAAACTGTTCATCATTTATTCTTTATGGTACGCCAGCATTCATAACATGTAGGCAAATCACTGTCCCCAGACCTCCGCAGTTATATTTTTTATATCTATATGTTTTAAAAACAAAGCAGAGTGTGTATGACGTCATCCGCGCGCCGGCTACCATTGATTCATCCTGTCCGCTGAACTGCTGCTAGTTTTCCTCACATACCTGGAAGATGTCTAGTGCTACTACCACTCGCTCTCCAAATGGAATTGAAGGATTCAGATTAGCTAGCCGAATTAATAGAAGGGGTAGAGCGTAGCCGCCTGTGGCCCGGGCTGCCTGTCACAACTCCAGTCCGGCACGCGGACCATCTAGTAACTGGTAGTAACTGCATCTATAAACAAATCTATCTTTTTATTGATTGATTTTTTTTAATTTTTTTATTTTTTTATTGATTTTATTTGTATGAGGATCAGCACCTCCAAATCCGAGGCCAGAAAGGTGGACCTTGTCTCAAGTGGAGGAGTTCAAGTATCTCGGGATCTTGTTCACTAGTGAGGGACGGATGGAGCATGAAATCGATAAACGGATCGGTGCGGCATCAGCAGTGATGCGGTCGCTGAATCTGACTGTCGTGGCGAAGAAGGAGCTGAGTTGGGGGGCAAAGCTCTGGATTTACCGATTTAAAGTTGGGGTGAGGAGCTCAGTTACTCGGGAGGAGCTGGGAGTAGAGTCGTTGCTCCTCCTCGTCAAAAGAAGCCAGCTGAGGTGGATCGGGCATCTGTTCCTGACACCTCCTGGTTGCCTCCCTTGGGACGTGTTCCAGGTATGTCCGATTGTGAGGAGGCCTTGTGGAAGGCCCAGGACACGCTGGAGGGACTATGTCTCTGAGCTGGCCTGGTGTCGCGTCCGGGTCCCCCCAGAGCAGCTATAGGAGGTGTGTGTGGATCAGGAAGTCTGGGCATCTCTGCTTAGACTGCTGCCTCCGCGATGGATGGATGGATGGATGGATGGATGGATGGATGGATGGATGGATGGATGGATGGATGGATGGATGGATGGATGGATGGATTTTATCTCTCAAACAGAATGATCAATAGCAGCTCAGAGGCTCCGGACACAAAGGCCCGTTTCCTGCTTTGCTGAGGTTTCCTTAGTAAAGTCCCTGAAGCTTAAGATTCATAGGCGTGTCTGAACAGGTGATGCCATTATGGATGTTACTGTAGATAAAAGTAGAAAATGCCCAATAATTCAGACCTTCTTACATCATTTGATGTCAAACTGCCACCTACATCCAGGAGCAGCAAATTATAAAAATCTGCAGTTTGCTGCATTAAAGATTGTCTGCAGTCAAGCATTAGGGTGTCAGAGTGTGAGAGGGAGGCTCATAGCCTCTGCTCCCCCTCCATCATCCAGGGACTTCACAGTGAAACAAAGCTACGCTGCCTCCCTATTGGCCAACAACATGTTTGTGCACGTGTGTGTGTCTGGGTGTGTGTGTGTGTCCAGGAGGGAGCCAGGCGTCTGCTCTCATTATTGTCTCCTTCTGCATCGCTGACTCTGACACTTAGCAATGGCTTTATTCTGTTTTGCAGCCTCTGTCTGTTGGGATAATGAATAATTAGGCTAGCACCACAAAACACATGAGTACCACAGGGAGCAGGAGTCAGACATGTCTGCTCAGAGCTCCCACCTTTGAGATGTTGATTTTAGTTCATGCTTTATTTGGTGCCACCCTGCTAGCACCAGACTGGGCCCACTGTTGACTCCAGAACTGGCTAAATACTTCGTGGCTTAAACGAATTATTGGAAACAATACATTTTGCCTTATATTAAGGCAGAATTTTCAGTGTAGTCCTGTTTCTCTGACTGGGACTAACTGGATGTGCTCTCTGCATCCTCTGACATGCACTGAAAAAAAAATAGAGGTTGACAGAACTTACATTTTCTAGGCAACGTGATGCATTTGGTTTTTTGAGTTTTCCTTACTTAAATTCACTGTGGTTGAGTTTACAAAGATTTTTGAGTTCTGCCAACTTAGGTTTTTGGAGTGTTACATAGAAATTTTGAGTTCTACCAACTTAGGTTTTTGAGTTTCACCTTTAAGTTCTGAGTTCTATCAACTTTGTTTTATGAGTTTGACATATAGATTTTGAGTTCTACAAACTCAGATTTTGTAGTGTTATCTGCAAGTTGAGTTCTATCAACTCAGTTTTTTTAGTCCTACCAATCGTCTTCACTACCAATCATTCAACACACAAAAAATTATGTTAATACAACATTTTTATTGCTTCAAGCCAAACATTGCATAGATACAGTATAAAACCATGTTCAACAACATAATCTTAACTGCACAGATCAAAGTAACATGACACTGGACCAGAATGTTCTAGATTCGTAAGAGTGATGATGAGGGAAAAAACAGTAAGACACCATTTTAGTAAGAGGAAAACACACAGGTAATTTTTTGTGAAGTAAGTGTATTAACATATATGAAAAAATAACAGTTTTACAAATTTGGACGGCCTTCAGTTTGTTTTTTTCAATTGTAGTCTCTTTAAATTGGGTGCACCCTTTTAAAAAAAATAAAATGAAATAAAATGTCTTGTTTCCCAACGGAAAAAGAAAAAGGTTTTCCCTTTTTATCTCTGAGTTTTTCTTTTTAGTCCTACCACTCCGACAGGACGATGAATGCAAAAAAAGAAAGTCCTCTTCAGTCCAAATCCTTCTCTTCAATCCAAATCCAGATGTTCACACGGTTGGCTCGCCATCTCCATTTAAGGAGAGAATCCAGAATCCAGGGTATCCAAAAAACCCAGCCTGCATAGCACAACAGGGCTTAGTTAAATCCATTCACTTCTTTTTCTTAACTGTACAGTTTATATCTCTCCAAGTATGATAAATTTCAGTGTGTAATGTAACTTTTCTAACTCATTACGAATTAACTGCTGCATTACAGGGTTAACATATAAAATGTTAATGTCACTGTTTTTCTTGTAAAGCAAATAAAATCATGAAAGCAAAAAATCCACATGTAAATAATGTAAATAACAGTAAATACCCACATCGGATTAAGAAAGTAAAATAATGTAGTCTTGTAATATTCTGTGCCTGAGTGCAAAAACACTGCACTACATAAAACAATTTAGAAATTTCATAAGTTATTACTCTCAACTTAATGTCTCTTTTCATTTGTACAATGAAAATAACAGGCACTCTTTTCTCTATGCATAAACACTCACCCGCACATGCGCGGCATAAACACGCACGCGCACACGCGCATTATACACGTGCACGTGCGCTGCTTTTCCTTTCATCAGAACGTGAAAAACATGTGAACTCATGCTTCAACTCGGTGGCAATACACCACAAGGGAATGCTAACTCACGGAGCTAACCGCTAACTGTCTGTACTTTGCAGCACTCACCGGGAAAACTGGTAAGGTCCCAGGGTCGTTCCTCCGTGGTTCTCCAGATGCATAAAATCACAATGTCCGCCAATCTTCTCAAACACGAGGGAAAAAGGCTGTGCCCTTGAAGAAAGGGATAGGAAACCCCGTACCGTAGTGGGCGTGTCCATGAACATAAGCAGTGCGCATGCCCATGAGTTTACAGTTGAGGGAACTCAAAAAATCTTGTATAGGCGATTTGAAACTCCTTGTTAAACCAACTTCTGAGAATTTGAGTTGGGCAAACGTGTATTTATTTGTTAGATGTCAAATTTATATTTCTGAGTCGGATTACAATACAATTGTGTGTTAGAACAACAATTGCCATTTACTTTTTTAACAGTGTGGGAGCTGGCTCGGAGCTCGTCTGCCTGGCTGTGTGTTTCCTGGACGGGGCCGCCTGTGGAGCTGGTTGACAGTTGCCTTTTGTATCTATGCTTCTCTTTGTATCTCTGCTTCTGTCTCCTTGAACCCTAGTCGGCCTCAGCAGATGGCCGCTCACACTGAGCCTGGTTCTTCTGGAGGTTTCTTCCAGTTAAAAGAGAGTTTTTCCTCTCCACTGTCGCTACAAGCATGCTTAGTGTGAGGGATTGCTGAAGAGTCAATGAGTCGATGCAATCAGCTGGTTTTCCTTCGAAAACTTTGAATCAATCTGACTGGATGATCTGGTTTAACTGTAAAATGCCTTGAGATGACATGTGTTGTGAACTGACGCTAACTGAATAGAATTGAATATTACATGTTTGTTTAGAACCTTGATTATTCAATGTGAGTTTATCTAGATGTGCCAGGGTTTATGTTTTATCTTAGTTACATGTAAAACCTGATTGATTATCTATTTTTGTAAAAAGTAACGCTGATCTGCACCCATCCACTAACGTTCTCCTCATCCTGCTTCTTCGTTGCAGACTGCCCTCAGGCAGACGGCGGGGAGAACAACCTCCCGATCAGTTCCAACGGTGACGACTCAGAGGAGACTCAGATGAGGCTTCAGCTGAAGAGGAAGCTGCAGAGGAACAGGACGTCCTTTACACAGGACCAGATAGAAGCACTAGAGAAAGGTATTCATCACATCCCACAGTCCAAAGACATTAGCTGGGTTTCTGCCGTTTGAGATCAAGTAAAAAAAAAAAACTTTTATCACCAAACTGGGAACTTCACATTTTTCACTCAAACTAGATCTGATCAATTCTGGACTAAACCAGCCTTCTTCAACACAGCAGCAATTCAAAAGGTTAACTTACATTTTTGGATTGGTTAGGGAATAGCTAATTTAATATCTCTAACAAATAAGTTAAAAGCATTAAGTGCCGTAATCATTAAGCCTGCATGAAGAAAAGTCATTAAAATCCTAAGATAGAGATCTCTATCTCTATCTTTGTTAAGCACAGAAAATCTATTAGCAGCTAAAATGGTTTCAGAAACTTCGGTCCAAAATCCAGCTTGATTATTTCCTTCTGCATTTTAAGTAAGGTTAAAAAGAAGGAGGGATTTCTGTATTTACAGAGTTTCTCCAATAACCTGCGCCTATCAAAGCAGATGTCTCCTTAAGGTCTGGTTATCCTCCCGCAGCAGTGTGTCGCAGTGAACTTGTCGCAGAAATTTTTGATTTCTGCCCACTATTGAAGCGTGGTCTGCGCTATGCTATTCCACGCCACAACACCAGAGGGCCACACATTTATTTTGTCTTTTGGTACTGGAGGTTAGAGAACATAAAAAAAAACACACATATTTCACATCACGTTTGTTACGTGTCAGAAGACCTTCCCATTCTGCATCTGATTAACCTTAATTTAAAAGCAAACAAGAAAAAAAGTAGTGCTCTCACACATCAGCTCAGTTTGTATAGTGTGTTTGTTAGCATGTAAAGGACATGCCCAGAAAAGTGTTTAATGGTCTGATCAGTGCTTTAGCAGACACTCGTTAGGGTGGTCAGTTATGTACTTTGTTGGCTGCGCCACACAAGAGGAAGGACTGAGAGAGAGAGACAGAGAGGGTAGGTGGGGGGAGAAGAGGAAAAGTGAGGCAGCAGCGATTTCTTCACATGATGCGGATACCCTAGATAGAAGCTTCTAGACTCTTGAAGTCCCAAATAGTCATTGCTCCATCAATGCTCGTGGTGCAGAATTTGTGGCACTCCCTTTTGTCACCCACATAGATAGACACTTGGGTGATGCTATTCTGGTGCAGCGTGTCCAGGCTTGTGTTGCGGTCCTCAGTGGTAGCTCTCTTGTCCATGTCTCTGAAGCGCTCCATGGCAGACATATTCCTCTGGATGCTCTGTTCGGGGAGGTCAAGCTTCGACACAAACACCAGTGCTCCGCCATCGTCGCAACGGAAGACCATGGGGCAACAGTCGTGGTCCGCAGCTACTAAACTGTTCTCAAGAGACAAAAATGACACTGAGGAGAGGCAGAAACTCTGTCTTCAGCTGTGAGGGACTGGCAGTCTTAGAGCTGTCGACCACAGTGACGGTGCTGTCATGGCTGACCCAGGCCAGACGGTTTCCAGAGGTTGAGAAAGAGACGGAGTTGACATATCCCCCTCCACCTGCTCCACCAAACTCTGCTAGTACAGCGGCGAATGGCATTTACTGCCCCAGGGTGTTTGGCCTGGTTGTTCTTCTACCTCTTTAATGTACGCTGAGAAAACCCTGCACTTGAAGTCACACGAGCCGGCAGCCAAGAGGACATTGTTGGGAAGTCAATCTAGACTGAGGATGGTGGAACAGATTGGCTTCTTCATGTGTTTGCTTACCCACCAATCATTCTCAGATTCAAAGTAGCAGACAGAGATAAGTCAAGCTCCACTGCCAATGGCAAACTTGTTCTCCAGCGTAGACCACTTGACAAAGGTGGCTGCCTGGTTGATCCTGAGGATGACCAAAGTGGGTTTGAACATTCCTTCCTTCTGAGACCACACCTAGGCATTATGGTCTGCCCCACATCACTATACAGTCACTTTTGGGAGCCCAGTCAATATCTGTGATGTGTCCATTGTGCTCCTTCAGCTCATGAATCTTCACCCACTGGTTGCCACTTTTCTTGTAGATATGAACTTCATGGTTATTTGGACTTATGGTGATTTGTGTCCTGTCATGGTTCCACGCATGGCAGGTGATAGGTTCCAATAGAAACTGATGAAGGGACATCTTCTCTGGGTGTGGTCCTTAAATGCAACTCTCGTCGGCCGAGGGTTGTTTCCTAGTGTGCGGTCTTGTTAGCCAGCGAGCTAAGTCACACGAGCCTAAGGGGTAAAGGACCGAGGTTAGATCAGAGGTGGACTTGAATTTGGGAACTCTGGTCAGTTGACACAAATTCGTCAAGGTATGTAGAGGGAATGTCAAGAAGACCAGGAAGGTGAGAGCGAGAGCATCCCCTTTCTCCCAAGATCTAATGTTGAATTTTGCACTGATAATAAATATCATTATATAAAGTGTGGTTTGTCCTGAACACGATATTACACAAAATCATTCTGAAGGTATTTCAACTACACCGAATGGATTGTTTTGTGGATTGTTTTGAGTTTCTGTATCAGAACATGTTTAGGACAGATTATTTTCTTTATTGCGAAGAAACAATTACCTTAAACCTTAGAGAGCGACTTATTCACCAAACCAGAGGCCAAAGGTTTGCAGAGCTGCCCCCAGCAGCAGCTCCAGCTGTCTAATAAGCTGGATAAGACTATAAACTGGCTACATCTGCTCCAGGTCATTATTCTGCTGGAAGCTGAAGCTTCGTTCTTGTCTCAAATCACAGGCAGGTTTCTGACTAGAATATTCATCTTTCTCTTAGTTTTTAGTCCCTCTTGTGGAAAAACATCCCCTCAGCATGATACTGCCTCCACCATGTTTCACTGGGGGACAATTACTTTGGAAGGTACAATTGTAGGTTAGATTATAGCAAAACAGGTGAAAACTTTTTCAAGGCACCATTAACCCACCATGATGGTTATTTGTTACAGGTTAGATATTATTGCTGTTCTTGGAGGTTTTAGTTTATAAAAGTTCTCTTGCTTGAAGTATAATAATAATGTTTTACCATGTTGATAAAGTAGACCAGCGTAGTGTGACCGACTCTAAGGGGTGGAAGCTAACAGCTGGCCAGACATGGTTTTAGTAGACTTTAGCTGTTTATTAGGTATTTAAAACTAAAAATGTTTATACTGTAGTTGGATAGGACAATTTGATATTTAATATTGGTGTAAAGCTTTGCTGACGACTTGTTCTATTTTATGATGTTTAATTCATCTGAAAAACATTAAGAGTTATTTAAGTCTGCCACCTGGACCAATCCGCATCATTTGCTCTGACTCTAAGAAAAATAGAGAAAACTTAGGAATGTTGTGTTTAATTGTCAGTTAAGGCAAAAATATGGTTTTGTAAGTTTCCTTGACTCCAGGTTTTAAATCAGCCACTGAGGGGCACTGATATAAGCGGCAGGCTCAAGCTAGATACCTAGCTCTATAATGTATGTTGTTCATCTGAGAAAAATTGCACCAAACATCTTACACTTTATGTCTTAGTTGTTCAAACTGTTTAAATCAGCTTACTGTAAAGGGATTAGCTATTAGCTTCCAGCACTCTGACAATGTGTTTACATTTTCAACAAGCTCAGGGTGATTTGGCATCTTTCTATTACAAGTAAGGAAATTATCACTGATAATATCTACAAGGACTTAAAAAAAAAAAAAATTATGCATGTACTTTTAATAGTAGGAAACTCCCAACAGAACCACTTTGAAAAGGGTTTTTAAAAAAAAGGGTTATTAACAATGGTTCAATAGGACAGTCATGTAAGCAAATTCAATAATTTCTTCAGAATCAAAATAGTGCAAGATCTAAAGAATGAAGATAAGATTGAGTGGGTCTGTGTACATTTTAAAGAAAGCCAATATTTTACTCTGTTTTGCTGATCATATAGACCACATTCTTTTTAAAGCCAGTGTTCTATCTTTTAACACAGAGTGAGATTGGACTGTATTTTACTGTTTGTTTTGAAACATGTTTATTTATTGATTAAAATGTTTCTTTTCTGTTTTAGAATTTGAAAGGACTCACTATCCAGATGTTTTTGCTCGTGAACGTCTTGCTAATAAAATTGATCTCCCTGAAGCAAGAATACAGGTAAGCTTTAGAAGCTGGAACTAAGTCTTAAACCAGACACATGTATTTATCGCAACAGGAATCTTCTTAGGAACAGGATAACTTTGTAGAAATTAATACCACAAGATTTACAAAAGCTTTAACCTCTGTTTATTTTTCAGTACTTTGGTGTCTTTAAATCAGGAGGCTAAGATTTAAGATGTCTGTGAAACCTGAGGTTTTGTCACTTTTAATTTAAGTTTGTTAGGCTTTTTACAGCACACTGCAGCAAACAAAAAACAGGAACCTTTATTCTCTAAAAGACAATTGGAAAAAATACAGGTGCTGGTCATAAAATTAGAATATCATGAAAAAGTAGATTGATTTCAGTAATTCCATTTAAAAAGTGAAACTTGTATATTATATTCATACATTACATACAAACTCATATATTTCAGATGTTTATTTTGTTTAATTTTGATGATTACAAATGACAACAAATGAAAATCTCAAATTCATCATATCAGAAAATTAGAATATTGTGAAAAGGTTCAAAATTGATGGCCCCTGGTGCCACACTCTAATCAGCTAATTAACTCAAACCACCTGCAAAAGCCTTTAAATGGTCTTTCAGTCTAGTTCTATAGGCTACACAATCATGGGGAAGACTGCTGACTTGACAGTTGTCCAAAAGACGACCATCGACACCTTGCACAAGGAGGGCAAGACACAAAAGGTCATCGCTAAAGAGGCTGGCTGTTCACAGAGCTCAGTGTCCAAGCACATTAATAGAGAGGCGAAGGGAAGGAAAAGATGTGGTCGAAAAAAGTGTACAAGCAAGAGAGATAACCGCACCCTGGAGAGGATTGTGAAACAAAACCCATTCAAAAATGTGGGGGAGATTCACAAAGAGTGGACTGCAGCTGGAGTGAGTGCTTCAAGAACCACCACACACAGACGTATGAAAGACATGGGTTTCTGCTGTCGCATTCCTTGTGTCAAGCCACTCTTGAACCACAGACAGCGTCAGAAGCGTCTTGCCTGGGCTAAAGAGAAACAGGACTGGACTGCTGGTGAGTGGTCCAAAGTCATGTTCTCTGATGAAAGTAAATTTTGCATTTCCTTTGGAAATCAAGGTCCCAGAGTCTGGAGGAAAAGAAGAGAGGCACTTCATCCACGTTGCTTGAAGTCCAGTGTAAAGTTTCCACAGTCAGTGATGGTTTGGGGTGCCATGTCATCTGCTGGTGTTGGTCCATTGTGTTTTCTGAGGTCCAGGGTCAACGCAGCCACATACCAGGAAGTTTTAGAGCACTTCATGCTTCCTGCAGCTGACCAACTTTTTGGAGATGCAGATTTCATTTTCCAACAGGACTTGGCACCTGCACACAGTGCCAAAGCTACCAGTACCTGGTTGAAGGACCATGGTATCCCTGTTCTTAATTGGCCAGCAAACTCTCCTGACCTTAACCCCATAGAAAATCTATGGGGTATTGTGAAGAAGAAGATGCAATACACCAGACCCAACAATTCAGAAGAGCTAAAAGCCACTATTAGAGCAACCTGGGCTATCATAACACCTGAGCAGTGCCACAGACTGATCGACTCCATGCCACGCCGCATTGCTGCAGTAATACAGGCCAAAGGAGGCCCAACTAAATACTGAGTGCTGTACATGCTCATACTTTTCATGTTCATACTTTTCAGTTGGCCAACATTTCTATAAATCCTTTGTTTTTATTGGTCTTCAGTACTATTCTAATTTTCTGATATGATGAATTTGAGATTTTCATTTGTTGTCATTTGTTATCATCAAAATTAAACAAAATAAACATCTGAAATATATGAGTTTGTATGTAATGTATGAATATAATATACAAGTTTCACTTTTTAAATGGAATTACTGAAATCAATCTACTTTTTCATTATATTCTAATTTTATGACCAGCACCTGTAAGTTTTAATCCTGCCTTAAAAGATCCCTATATCCAATTGTCTCTAAATGGGAGGCAGTTATATCTTCTGATGTCATGCAATGGATTGACATAATCATAGGGTAATACAGAGACACACTGGACAGACAACTCTGCACCAACACAGACCCACAGCTAGGAGTCATTTATACTAACCAACCTAACATGAATAGATCCGTCTGTGGTAGGATGCATGTGCGGATGTAACATGCAACCTCTGTGCAGAAATCCTCCAGGCTGGGATTCCAACCTAAGACCTTTCCAAAAGCAACGGTGCTTCCATATTTGCGAACCATGCCGCCTGTGGTCTGGAGTCCAGTGCTGTTCTCTGCCGTCTCAGAATAGAAGAAGCTTCAAAGCAAATTTGTGTAGATGTAGATTTTTTCCCATGCCTTTCTGTACAGTTCAGTTTAATCGTGTGAATGTGTGAATGCATGGGTGAATTACTAAACTTAGTGTAGTAGAGCGCTTTGGAGTGAAAAGGTGCCATATCAGTTTCAGCCATTCAGTCTAAATAATTTCTGGTACAGATTTAAAGACAATCTTGTTAATTCTGATTTACTTGACGATTCCCCTACTGACCCAGTACATGATAGTATAGTTCAGCCCCTTTTTTTTCTTTAACAGAGGAAAACCTCTTCTGTCTTTAGAGTGTTAAAGTGCAAACAGGGTTGGATGTAACTCAGGTTTTCTTTTGGTTTGTCCAGGTTTGGTTTTCAAACAGACGTGCGAAGTGGAGAAGAGAGGAGAAGTTAAGGAATCAACGACGGCAGGTTTTGAATACCTCAAACCATATTCCCATCAACAGCAGCTTTAGCAGCAGCGCTTATTCCTCTCCACCTCAGCCTTCTGCTCCAGGTACCAAATACTATGAACGCTTTGCTACATCAAACTCTACAGTGATAGAAACACTAACCTTATTGAGAAGTAATTTAGTCAGTTTGAATGTATCATTACCATAAAGACTGAATGCTAAGCTTTACAAGAAGGTGCTTTTACATTATTTAAAGCTGTGCATTGGCTGTGTGTTTCCTGGATGGGGCCGCCTGTGGAGCTGGTTGACAGTTGCCTTTTGTATCTATGCTTCTTTTTCTATGTCTGCTTCTGTCTCCTTGAACCCCAGTCGGCCTCAGCAGATGGCCGCTCACACTGAGCCTGGTTCTGCTGGAGGTTTCTTCCTGTTCAAAGGGAGTTTTTCCTCTCCACTGTCGCTGCAAGCATGCTTAGTGTGAGGGATTGCTGAAGAGTCAATGAGTCGATGCAATCAGCTGGTTTTCCTTAGATAGAAAACTTTGAATCAATCTGACTGGATGATCTAATGGACTGGAAAGTGAGCTGAGATGACATGTGTTGTTAATTGGTGCTATAGAAATAAACTGAATAGAATAGAATTTCCCTCTAATGAGGGTCAGTTTTATATTTTATTCCTGGAACAAATTTGTTTGTCATTAACACGATTTTTTGGGGTCAAATGTCACATCATGTAACAAAAGTATTTACTAGTTATTATGTCATATTTCATGAAAGCCTGGTATTCTATATATCTTAATTTTTTTTAATATCCACTGTTTATTTATTGGAATCGATTATGGAAATTTGAGGACATGTTAGCATCTAACGGACAGCAAGCCAACCCCACAAGCTTTCGTTCAATTCGATTCCATTCAGTTTATTTCTATAGCATTAATTCACATCACGTCATCTCAAGGCACTTTCCAGTTCACCAGATCATCCAATCAGATTGATTCAAAGTTTTCTATCTAAGGAAAACCAGCTGATTGTATCGACTCATCCAGAAGAACCAGGCTCACTGGGAGCGGCCATCTGCTGAGGCCGACTGGTGTTCAAGGAGAGATAGAGAGCGGTAAAAAAAGATGTAAAGATCTTTGCATCAGAGCGAAGGTGATTAAAACGTCACAGTAGCGCTACCTCTGCTAACACCTGTTTCCTTGTCATATTTTTACCTTTTGACTTTACAATGCAGGTTCAGTGGTGTGAATCTGTTAAAGGAGATGTCTAATCATCACTGTGGTAGATGTTGGCAAAAAAAAAGTGACTATCAATGTCACGTTTAATCAGTGTTGGGCACATTACTTTGAAAAAGTAATTAGTTATAGTTACTAGTTACTTCTCCCAAAAAGTAACTGAGATACTGAGTACTCCACAATAAAAGTAACTAGTTACTAGTAAAAGTAACTATTGCGTTACTTTTGCGTTTCTCGCCCCCATAATCCTCACCACCCAGCCCCCACCTTCTCGCAGTGTGTTTCAAAGCCAGCTGAAAAGAGCGGACGACAAAGACAAGAACCTGCCGAGAGTTTTGCATTTATTGCAACTCAACGTAAATGACATCAGGGGGGAACGCTATCTGACGGGCCTATAAACCCTGTCAGATAGCATTCACCCTGTCTAACATGGGAATATGAAATATGAATAATCAATATAAATAATAAATATGAATAATTAAAAAAATATTTAAAGAAATAAGACAAAAAGCTCAGTTTGGGTTAAAAACCAGTGCAAACAGGGGGTGTTTAACAATGACTTAGTATAGCAAATAGACTGATATTCTTTTCTCGGGTCTCTGTGAAGCAACAGTAAAGGTTTGGCTGCCAAAGTTAATGAATTTACTAATCTAGTTCATCCAACTAGAATACAGAAGCTCTGCACTCAAAGGCGAGCTAACCGGTGGCGGCTGGCGAAAAGAGGCTCTACCCACCCAGTGACCTTCATTAAGACATACAATAAAAAAAATAGTACATCTTATATTTTTAAGATGTGCAAGATAAATATTTCATCTTACAAGTAAAGCTGTTTTTTTCTTTCATTGGATTGGTGACGTATTTAAAAATATATACTTATTTATATATATATTTATTTATATTAATGCCAACAACAAAAAACATTATAAAAACACTTTATAAAAACAAAACATAATTTCATTTCCAGGTTTACTTTTTGTAAATAAATCTTGCCCTTCTGAGGCTTTGTGAAGGTAAATCTGTGTTTTGCATGATCCAATATTGAGTCACATACCTAAAAAAAATACTGATAATATATATATTTATATTCTTAGAATGTGTTTATTTAAGAGCAACTCTGCAAATGAACAAACATCTAAAAAAAGTAGACTATATTCTATTATTTTCCATGTGAGTCCCAGATTGTTCATTCCTCTTTGCCTTTTCTAAAAGGTGCTTTAAATGAGTCCTAGCTGTCTTTATCCATGCTGGCTCAGATCCTGACGTTTGATAAAGGGAAAGCAGAATAAAGCCTTAGCCTTGCTGCATGCAGTTAGCCTCACCTTGGAGCTAAACCAGGTCCTTGAAAAGGACCAATTGAACCGTCTCCATCTGTCTTTGGATGCTGATAAATTTTGATGTTTGGCTGATCAAGTAGAAAGGATTTCATCTCCAGCTTCTCTTGGTGAGTTTGCTTCCCTCCTGCGACTCGGCCTGTCAATCACCTGGACTACAACTGTGACATCAGTTCCTGTCACCTCAGGGCATAGCTTTGGTGCGCCCAGAGCTCTCCTATACTTCTGTATTGCAGAGGAGCTACTGCACATGGACAACTTTTAACCAAAGTCAATGGGAGTCAAAGATGTCAACGCCCTAGGGCGGAAATATGGCACCAATCTGACGAAAAACGAAACATCATTACTCGTCGTTAAAGATTAAATATTTATCTTGCACTTTAAAATCAATATATTTCAAAATATCTTAATTTTATAATTGACTTTTATTTTTTATGTCTTAATCAAGCCTCTAGCGCCCTCTATTGGGCAGCTGCCACTGCTTCTAATTTATAGCAGATGTGGCCTTCTATCATAGCTAAATTGTTTTTACACATTGTCTTATCCAGACTTCTCTTTTAATCACTTTATTCCTCTCTCTCTAGTGTCCTTTTCTTCGGGATCCATAATGGGAAGATCGGACCAAGTTCTATCCAACAGCTATGGCCTTCCAGCTATGCCAAGCTTTAGCATGGCTGCTAGCTTGCCCATACAAGTAAGATTTAATAGGACACACAGTGAGGACTATTGTTGTATGAATGATAATCAACTGTGTTGTACGTCTGCGCACTGCCATCATAAAGCTTTGTGACATTAAACAGGGTTTTTTTTTTTTTGTTTTTTTTTAAAGTTGCAATGAGGTACAAAGGAATATCGTCCAATGAGAAACATCATTTTCATTTAAATAGTCAGGATTAAGTTAAAATTAAATCTATTGATCTGCTGGATCTTTAACCTTCTCCAGAAGTTAGCCTCTTGCCAGTTGTCTAGTTGTAGAAAAAAAAAAAAAAGAAGGGGGATGGTGGATTTTTTTTTTTTGGAAGCATCCATAGCCTAATAAAAATAATCTATTAACCTAAAGCAATATGCATGGTCTAGTTGTTACATGTCAGTTACGCCGGTCATTGAACTTGACCAAGGCACCTTTCAGTAGAACTGCAGTCAGTCCCTCGACTGGCATGGCTAGCACTGCCCCTACATAGTTAGCATGGCTAGCACTGCCCCTACAATATGAGATGGTATGGGGGGATGGTGATTTAGGAAGAGGGATGACACCCCTCCTCACCCCCTCTCAACTCGTGTCTTGCCTCTGGCAACTCAGGCAAGACCTGTTTCGCGGCAGACTTTCCCGATCTACCGATCTAGCTTGTCCGGGTAATTCATCCGTCCTGTTTTGACCAAAACAATGATGTACCAATCACAGGAGAAAGACGCAAGTCACTCAGAGACCAAACTAATCAGAAATTCAACAAACAGTGCTTAAATTGGTCATCTTCATAATGACTGGCTGGTTGCTGGTGTTCTGTCAGATCAGCATACCCCATCAGACCAGCATACCCATAGTCAATAGGCATGTGCAAGACGTCAGATTTGCTTTTATCTTTTTAGTTTTGTACGTAAAATAGACTTTAAACTACTTCAACGGTAGTGTATCCATTTAGTCATGTATAAAAAATAATAATAATTAAGGTCAGATCGCCATACACTTAAAAAAACACTGTAAAGTAAGTAATTAAATAGTTTTTTAGTACATAACTAAAAGGATACATGCCCGTTGAGGTAGTTTAAAGTCAAATTTTTGTACAAAACTAAAGAGATAAACGCAAGTCTGACGTCTTGTGTGACTATATGTATGCTGGTCTGACAGCACACCAGTGTCTAGTTTACAAAGAATATTTTATAAATAGTATTTTATTAGTCTGTAAATAGGCCTAACTTGAAACAGCTACATTGCAATGCCCATCTCTATAGTCATTAGATTGTCAGCTCTGAGCTGCCGTAGCACAAGAGATGCCTACCTCCAAAAGTGGGAACCCCCTCCTATGTGATTATAAATCACATAAAACTATTTCTAAGGCGAGGCAAGCATTAAATATTTTATTGATCCCAAAGAGGAATCAAATGGTGTAGTAACACTTACCTGCTTCTTTTTTCAATGACTTGTTGATAGCTGTAGTCAGGAGAGGTCTTCTTTAGTGGTCTGTATTGCACTGCATCTATAGAAGCCTTCGACTGAAGACACTCTGTTGTTGTTTAGGTTTTCTGAAGAGGATTCTCTCTGTGGTCCACGATGTTCTTTATTGTTTTAAATAATTATTCTTTGTGAAACAGTCTCCAGGGGGTTTGGAGACTTAATTTTCCAGTCCTCTTTTAATCTGTCTGCTGGTATCAACAGATAACCTGGCAAAGGGACTCTGATGCCAGGGATATGATTCTGCAGCCATGTTTCAGTGAAACACATAATACTGCATTCTCGATATTCTGGCTGGGTCCTTCCTAGAAAGCAGCCATTTGTTGACTCCTTCCTGCTTGGAATGACTCAATGAAAGGGCTTGAGTTTCCTCCCCCTCTTTCTTCTCCTTGCTCCTGCTCTGCATCCTCTGCACCTCCTTTTTAACACCAATGGGACTTGCAGAAGTATTATTTCTAGTGCTGTCAATCGATTACATTTTTTTAATCGCGATTAATCGCATCAATGCCTGAGTTAACTCGCGATTAATCGCATTTTAATCGCACATTTTTTCCTGATTGAAAATCATTTAAATACTCTCGATGACATACAAAAAAACACATACAGGCTAGGTTTGTGCCAATGTTCTTTTTTTAAAATGAAAACAGGTCACAGATACTGATTTATGCCAAAAATAACAAATATGTAGCCATAATAGGGCCCTGAAAACAGGCTGATGTAAAAGACAGTCTTTACAGTTAATATAGTCTTTTGAACAAAGACAAGCATTTTACCCTACTGCTATAAAATGCAGTAGTTAACATTAGATGTTAATTAACCAAGGTAATAATGAACAATTTTCAATCAATACATCAAAATCAATAGACCGACATCACTAGATGGAGGTAGTCTTTTCAGCCTCTTAACAAAAATGAGAACACACACACAAGCACCCACCCACCCACACACACACACACACACGATACCGACCTGTGGCGTACACAGACGGCAGCAGATTCCATTTCACCTCAGTAATCTGTTTTCTCAGCGTATTTCAGGTTGCTACTAGTTACCAGACACTCAACTTGTTTGTTGGTGGTGGGGCTTAAAGAAAAGGCACTAGCGTCACCCAGTGTATGAGCGTCTTTTTCCCTTGAGGAGGTCCGCTCTCAAAGCCTATGAGAAATGCATACACTGGGGGAAAATAGCCCCGCCTTCCCGCAGGCTGCAGCGGGATGTACTTGGAAAATTGTACCATAAAACCACATAGCGTTAACGCGTTAACGCGATAATAACGCGATAATTTTGACAGCACTAATTATTTCTAAACTTTTTCAGATTTTAATGAGTAATCCATCATAACAAAAATCCAAAAATGAAACGATATTTGCAAAAATTATTTTAGGTTTACAGTATCACCTGAGAATATTCTTTTTTTTTTTTTTAAAGAACATAAGAATCAGGAAAGCAGAGCTACTCCAAGTTGCAGTCAGCAAGTCAAAAATGTGTTGTATTGTTTGTGTTGTATTCAAGACTGTGTTCTCTTACCTCATTCTATCTAACATGCTGATGTCTAATAGCCACTTTGTTGCTTTGCTACCACACACTAGAACCCTCAGATTCAGGTGCTTTTACTCGTTGCTATCTGCTTATCCAGGACTGTGTCACAGGGTCGGTAATCACAGCACTCTCACCTCTACCTCTAGCTCCCTGTGGGAGGTGTTTGACACACCTCCCAATCGAAGAATTTAGGGGGCATCCAAAGAAGATGTGGATGAGAAGAGGCTTTATTCTGAGTCTCTCCCTGATGACCAAGCTTCTCGCCCTCGCTCTTATGCTACATTCAGACCGTCAGCAGCAGATGCAGCAGAGGAAGCAGGTTTACATGCAAAGTTGACGCGCATCAAGGTGCAGCAAAAGGTTCTGCAGCGCATCTAGAGCAGCAGGAGCAGCAACTCATGAGCTTCTGACAATCTGAGGCGCTTCATAAGCAGCAGCTGTTGGAGTTGGAAAAAAAGATTTTAGCTGCTGGACGCTCCACATCAACCAATCAGAAGCAGAGCGCTATGATCACTCCTCTGAAACAGTTTATTAACGCCTAAATTAACTTAAAATGTAGAAACCTGCCGGCAGAAAATGTTCGCTTTTATTATCCTGGTGCCTGCAGTTTGGATTACGTACGTAAAAAAAAGCTAACATCTACTTCCAGCCGCCACCAACAGTAGGGGAAAGCCCCCATAGAGGCAACCGGGCCTCAGGCAGCTGCTGCTGGGGATTCCCAGTGACAGCGCACCGCCGGTATGTGGGGGTCTGAGCGGCTCCCACAGAGAAATAATCTTTGAAGGCAGGATGGTAATCTGGATGAACTGACTGCACAGACCATGTTTTCAGGAGGACTTTCTCACTTCAACATAGATTCAACTACTTTTTACCACTGATCACAGCTAATATAGCTGCCATTGTTCCAGGCAAAGAAAGGATAGCTTCACCCTACGCGCATCAGACCCACTTTACCACCAGCCGCGCATCAGAACTAAACTGGTACAAGCATCGAAATTGAACCAGCACACGCATTTTTGCTGCTTATGCTGCGTGTGCTCTAAACGTAGCATAAGGAAGCTCCCAGCTACCCTGCAGAATAAGACAATTTCAGCCTGATGTAACAGGGATCTTGCTCCATTGGTCATGATCCAGATTTTAGACCGTAGGTGACAGTATGCATGAGCAAAGCTGATCTACAAGCCAGATGCAACTTGTACTGCATCTTTAAATTGAGTAAAGGAGCAGCTTTTAGTGTTTGCCTTCATGGATACGAAGAGCATAATGCTGAGCATCAAAACATACAAAACACTGGGAGAAACGGAAATGTAGTCACCTACGAATGCAATTTATCAAACCTGAAATGCAGCTTGTGTGTTGAAACTTAACATCTATAAAAGCCTGTAGTCATAAAGGAGACACAGGAAGAATAACAAAGAGAAATAATAATACAATACTTCATATGTTGTCTGTGGAAAAAATGAATCAGATTATTATTACTGTTAGTCCAAGTATCTTCCCACCACTTCAGTGCCACAGCTTTGATATATATTTCTGTTCTTTTTTCAGGCATCAAACCATACCTCTTATTCCTGCATGCTTCCCAGCAGCCCCTCGGTAAACGGTCGAAGTTATCAGACATATACTCCACCTCACATGCAGCCGCACATCAGCAGCCAGCCGGTGACGTCCTCTACAACATCTTCAACAGGTAGGAAGCTACAGCAGGGCTGCCTTTTTGGATGACATGAATTAGAACTGACCCAAACTAGAATTCCTCCACCTCATCAGCTTTTCAGCAGCAAAAAAAATGTAAACAAGAAAAGTGTTGAATTTGGTTTTAAAGAAATTTATTTATTTATTAGATGTTTTCTGAAAGTCTTCTTATAGTTTCTGAGCAGAATTTGGCACTTTTTGTGTGTCTTGGTGATTTATCTTTAAATCAAGTCTTGGAGTCAGTTAGGCCATCCGCAAAGCTTCCTTTAAAGATTCAAAGACCCGAGTCCCGTAAAGACAATCTGTTAACGTCATCCAGTTAGTTATCCATCATCTAGTTCTTCAATCAGGTCTACATCCGTGGCGGCTGAGGGAGTTTTCTCCAGGGGGGCGCTATAACTTCAAAATAGAGGTACACCAAAAACCAATCAAATGTATACTATGGTATCACACCAGTATAGACTTAGACAAACTTTATTGTCGTTTTGTATACACTCTTTGTATAAAAAACTAAATTTAGATGCACACAGCTTTTCAACAGTGAATGAGCTACTTAACAGTGAAATGAACATTTCAATTTATAAAGTGCAGTGGAGATCAGAATGTAAACAGTGAGGGAGAGAAGGAAAACCAGTGTATAAGTCATGGTGCAAAAGGCAATGATATGGAAAGGTACATGCACCAGGAAGATTAAGTTGTGTTTTATTTAAAGGGATTATGAAAAAAATCAGCCACGTTGGTAGAGCAAATATGATGTTTTCTAGTGTGATGCAGAGTATTGATTAGAGTTTCAACAGTTCATCAGTCTGATGGCGATGGGGAAGAAGCTGCTGCAGAGCCTGCTGGTCCTGCATTGAATGCTGTGAAGCCTCTTCCCAGAGGGCAGCAGGGAGAACAGTCCATGGTGGGGGGGTGGGGGGTCATTGATGTGTCTTTTTCTATCTCTGCTTCTGTCTCCTTGAACCCCGCCTGTGGAGCTGGTTGACAGTTGCCTTTTGTATCTATGCTTCTTTTTCTATGTCTGCTTCTGTCTCCTTGAACCCCAGTCAGTCTCAGCAGATGGCCGCTCACACTGATCCTGGTTCTGCTGGAGGTTTCTTCCTGCTCGAAGGGAGTTTTTTCTCTCCACTGTCGCTACAAGCATGCTTAGTGTGAGGGATTGCTGAAGAGTCAATGAGTCGATGCAATCAGCTGGTTTTCCTTAGATAGAAAACTTTGAATCAATCTGACTGGATGATCTGGTAAACTGTAAAGTGCCTTGAGATGACATGTGATGTGAAATGGCGCTATAGAAATTTAAAATTAAATTAGAATTAGAATTTAATTGATTTGCAGTTTAAATTATCCAAACAGGCAACAGAAGCACGTCCACAAACAAAATCCAAAACTAAAATCTAGGAGACATTGGGGAAAACACAAACGAGGGTTAAAATAGTAAATGGTAACTGATCAGGAGGTGTATATATGGGAGAGAGAAACAAAGACCAGGCTAATCAGCAGATTGGGAGCAGGTGTGGTGAGAGGAGTCTAGAAGGGAGCTAGGGGAAAGGAAACTGACACAAGAGGGCAGCAGAGGGAAAACAAGAAATACCAAAGAGCGCCGAAGCATCAAAGCCGCTTGACCACAGTCTGATCCAGCATTGGAATTTCTACATTTGCACAGTTTTTACTCCCCTAAAGCCTTTGGTGTGAACACGGCATAAGAGATAAAAGTATTGGCAGTGTTGGGAAAGTTCTCTTTCTACGTGAACTAGTTCAAAGTTCAGTTCACACATTTTAAAATTCACTAGTTCAGTTCATAGTTCATAATTCAAAATTTTGAACTAAGTTCACAGTTCCAAAAAACGAACTAGTTCATAGTTCTTTTTTTCATTTTTTTTTTCATATATTGCTCACTTACACCATAGCCTATTGTAGAACCACAGACAGCAATTATTTTATCAGTTGTAACACTGAAACTGTGCGTCAGATTTCATCTTCATATCCAGTTTTGAATCCTTATCCAACCAGGGTTTACATTAGCATTGAGGGGAGAGCATTTCCCCATTGTGGCTTTGACGCTTTGTTGCTGTAAATTCACTTCACTAGTAGCAGCTGCAGCTTTCACCCTTTCAGTATATTCTCAAAAACATCAGGATAAATGTGCTGCTGGAATGGTCTTTTTTATGAGTAATTATTAAAAGAAAAACAGGAAAGTAGTCTTTAAGGTGCAAATGTTTTTTAATTTTAATAATTTTTTCCATTTGAAATTCCATTTCAGTACATATACCGTTTCAGATTTGCTTTGGATGTTACTGAAGTGCGGATTTTTATACTGAAAGCCGGCGGGCAAAGTTTGCAGAGAAATGTAAACTTGTTGCCATCATCCTCACCGACCACCTTTTCATAAAACTGTTTTAAGTGATCATACTGCTGCTTTGTCGCCCCCATGCTGCTGTGGCTTCCACGCTGCATTTTGTTTTGATGACGCACGCGGCTGTAGGCTACGACGCTGGTAGCTGGTGTTGCCAGATTGGGTGTTTTTCCCGCTACATATTAAGGCCTGTTTACGGTGTGATTTAGCCGGGGTTTCGCCTGGAGGACTCTATAGAAATCTGGCAACCTATTGAACGGAGTTGAACTGAGAGAGCGTGCCGTTCACAGACACCAGAATGAACGAGTTCACAATAACGTTCATCAGGCACTAATACAGTACGTTCAATTCACGTTCGCCCAAAATATGAACGAGTTCATGAACTTTCGTTCATTGAACGCGTTCAGGCACAACACTGAGTATTGGAACCTCCTGGCATTGCATCCTAATCTGCAAATGAATCCAGCACTCCTCAGCCTCTCAGTCTGAGTCAGTAGTAGATTGCTAGAAAAGTGACCAGAAGGTGTTCAGTTTTTTCCAGTCGCATCACTTTGAAAAACAAGTGACAGAAATTCAAACTTTTAATGATGTTCTAATTCTTAGTTATGTTATCTACATGCATAATATTGTTTTAATGGAATGGTAGGAAAGCCTGGTCGTTTAAAAGATCTGGAACCAACATGGTAGCGAGGAGTTTTCCTAAAACTTGGTCTGTTTGGTTTTTGCAGGTCTGATTTCTCCTGGGATCTCGGTTCCAGTCCAAGTTCCTGGAGGCGAAGCAGAAATGTCACAGTACTGGCCTCGCCTGCAGTGACGCTGTGACTCGGAGTCTGGGAATCCTCGAGGGAGAGCTGCCATCTCCGCTTCGTGTCAGAGCACAGGTTGAAGTTCGGCACAAAGGACTGTTCTGCTCCGGATCACAGGAGTTCAGTTCCCCTGCAGGAGCAGCACCACAAGCCCATGACTGATGACCACCCTTTGGTAGCGGCAAGCGTTGGAAAGAAAAATGGTTTTCAACAAACATGGACCTTCCACTGATTTTAACTTTGATGCCATTTGATCATCTTTACATTCTGCTGAATTTGTATTTCTGTCTGGATAAAAAAGACCTTCATGAAACTGGAAATCTACTGTCTGCTGTGTTTCTTTTTCTCTTCACCAGATTGCAAAAAAAAGCCTGAACTTCAGACATGTACAGGAATTTCAGATAAACAGTTGTTCTATATGTTTGGTATTGTAAACCATAGCATATATGTGAACAAGCATGGGTCCGAATTTGAACTAAATCTTTTCTTAATTTGATTCCAAAGCTTCAGTGTCCAAAAGATGTAAAGTAGTTTCCGATTTCAAATGTGAAAGTGTTTGTCTCAAGTGTTCTGGGAGGGTTTTCCATAATAAAGCTCTAAAGTTGTATTTCTGTGTAAAGTTTCATAAACAGAGAACTGAATGTGTGCAAACAAGAGTTCAGCATCGTTTTTAGCTCTGAAGCAACAGCATTGCTTCTAGAAAGGCTCCTCCAAGCAACCAGTGACCCTCTGAGCTGATATGGTTTGGTTTTGTTTAATCGGGTATTGTGTATGCAATTATGGAAAATTACAGAGATATTTATGTATTTTCATGTGAATTACAGTTCAGAAAAAGCATTAAAACAATGAAAACCTGATACTGGGTGGAAAAGGCTACGTTCACACTGCAGGCCTTAATGCTCCATTTCGATTTTTTTGTGAAATCCAATTTTTTTTGCGTTGTCGTTCACATTTCCAAATACATGTGGAGTTCTTCTAGCGATCTTAAACAATGTTAAAAACTCAATCTTTTTTAAAGGGTTAAACATAAATACTTCTCTCTGTATTATCGTCCGCCATGATTGTTGTTTTTCTGCTTCTTTTCATTGACCTTTGTTGAGTACACCCTTGTTTCTAGATGTTGGAGATCAGCCTGTTTTTCAGTGTAGTCCTGTTTCTCTGACTGACTAACTGGATGTGCTCTCTTCATCCTCTGACATGGGAGCTGGCTCGGAGCTCGTCTGCCTGGCTGTGTGTTTCCTGGACGGGGCCGCCTGTGGAGCTGGTTGACAGTTGCCTTTTGTATCTATGCTTCTTTTTCTATGTCTGCTTCAGTCTCCTTGAACCCCAGTGGGCCTCAGCAGATGGCCGCTCACACTGAGCCTGGTTCTGCTGGAGGTTTCTTCCTGTTCAAAGGGAGTTTTTCCTCTCCACTGTCGCTACAAGCATGCTTAGTGTGAGGGATTGCTGAAGAGTCAATGAGTCAATGCAATCAACTGGTTTTCCTTAGATAGAAAACTTTGAATCAATCTGATTGGAGGATCTGGTGAACTGGAAAGTTCCTTGATACGACATGATGTGAATTGGAGCTATAGAAATAAACTGAATAGAATTGAATTGTATTAATGGCATTCAGGTGAGATGAATGCGACCTGGCCGTTCAGACACAGGTCGCATTTGAAAAGATCAGATTCATATTGGATTCAGAACCACAGAGCCAAGTGGCCTGGATCACATTGGAAAAAATTGGATCTGTGTTGTTCAATCATGAAAAGATCAGATCCAGGTCACATATGGGAAAAAAAAAAAGATTTGGGTCACTTTAGGCTGCTGTGTGAACATAGCCTAATAATTGCTTAAATGACCTCCTGAGTTTCTGATAAAGAACAGATCAGGATTGTCACACAAGATTGTATCTATTCTAATTTTTACTATTAACTACAAAAATGACTTCTCTTGTCAGATGATTTACCCAAAGTTTTCCGAAACATGTTTGGTGTTTTTAAATCCTAAAGGAGGAGAGAATGGGAACATATCTATCATGCTTGAGTTACCTTTATATTCAAACCAGGGGGGGGGATTTACTATAAGCCAAACTAGGCAGCTGCCTAGGGCCCCAAGTTCCATGGTTAAATCAACTATTCCTTATTTGTGCACATTAATTATGTTTTTGATAAAAATCCTTTGGCTAAAATGCCATCAGAACGCTGATAATATTAAGTGTGTCTTAGCCCCCCCCTCAGTGTCCACCATATTGGATCAGTCCATTTGCTGCACATGTTCAGAAAGGTCCAAACAGACAGCAGCAAAACATTTGAAAACAAACCATGCAAAGAGCAGTGTTGCCAACTTAGCGCTTTAGTCGCTATATTTAGCCATTTTTCAGACCCCTCTAGAACTTTGATTTCTAAAAAGCTCCTAGTGCCAAATCTAGAGACTTTTTTCTGCTACTGCAGACTTTGGTAACAACATCTAAAAGCAGCGAACTCTGCTCTCCAGAGCAAGTAGATTGGTAACCCCGCCTCCTGCTCTCCTCTATCTTGTCTGCTGTCATGATTCATGCAGGGCGGGCTGTGTGCACGCTGCACTGCAGCACAGCCAGAGATAGGACCTTTAAACTTCAAATCCAGATTGCAGATGAAATGCACAGGTTTAAAGCTCTTACTAATCCCGCTCACGGTTACCAAATAATTTTATAAAACAATTTTTATAAAAATGAACTGGTGCTTTATTACATTTCTCCCCCTTTCTGCTCCTCCTGTCTCTGCACCGCTTTCTGCTTCTTACTGAGATTTGTTATGTAGGTTGGCAAAAAACTAATGGAGAATTACTGACAGTAACTGGCATGGAGTGTGGAACTAAATGGTTGAGTTATATGTATTCTATTTACCTGCTTCTTTCTATAAAATCTAATACTCAAAACAATGGCAGGGGTTCTGAATGTCCTACAGCTGGATGATATGAAATATGCAAATTAGGGGATGACATCATCTAGGACAGCCTATAGCAGCCTTTCTTGCTGGAGAGTGTTTAACACTGGGGAAGAGCTATTAAAGGAAAATTCTAAACTTTGACCAAAAAAAAGTCTTTAAAAATATGAAAAACTAAGAATTAAATTGAAATGGATGTGCCTCATTTATGTAATCAAGTAGCAAGATTTAACCTTTGCTTACTTTGATCATGAGACAAAGAATTTTTTTTTATTTATCAAGAGTGCTTAGTTAGGAAATTCATTGATGGTCCCTAAAAGAACCACCGCTGGTAGGAAGAGGGAGCAACAGAGAACGGCCGGCCAAAGTCTGAGCTCCTGAATCGGATCGACAGTGAGATAGGTGCCGCTAATTCAGCTGAGCTTGAATATCCAGCTTCTAACTAAATTCCCAGCGGCAATTCATGAAAGATTTCTGAAGCAGTCTTAAGGCCATTATATGCTTCTGACGCATAGCCTCTGCAACCGTCAAATCTGTCATTGTGCGTGACCACGCCCCCCGGCAGAGGTTCTGCAACCATCCTCGTGCACTTCAAAAAAATCCCAACTACGCGTCAGATGGTCGCAAACCTGCGCAGACCTCAAGTGGAAGTGCGCAGACACAAAGTAGCTGTGATTGGTCCTTGGTTTGCCTTTCCGGCTGTCTGTGTGGTTGTCCGATTTGGTGCCGGGGTGCGCCATTTTAAAAAATCAAGGAACAACTACAATGGACGACTACGACGAAAGGTTAATCTGTCTTTTTGCCAACTCCATTAACAGAACCTGTTCCTCTAACAACTCTAGATCCTTCTCCATGACTGTGATCTTGCAGACGCTCCATTGTTATTTTGGAAGATAAACACTCCCACCAGCGCAGCCGAAGTTCTCGAGACCATCCACCGAAGTTCTCACGGGTTCTCGAATAGGCTCCCCCATGCTCTTTGGCGGGAAACTGCTGTGCGTCCCTAGAAATTCCAGACAGACAGTGCAAAAGTCTAATCTGACCTTTAAAGTTCACAAAGTTCTTGTTCTCCACACATTCCATACTTCTGACTTCTTTCTACAATGTGGCATTTTGAAACAACATGGTCAAGAAGAGCCAGCATCACTGCAGCCGATCTGCTTCATATTCTGTTGCAGATTTCTGATTTGCAATGCAGAACGTTCCAGAGCTTTGGTGCAGTGAATGAAAGGCCCTGTTCCCTTTGTTTATCAACCTGCATCTGAGTACATGTGGAAACTGTTGGTCTGAGATCTGAAAGCTCTGCTTGTTGTGAGTGTTTAGAAAATCAGCAACTTGAAGTTGGTCCTCTAACTTCTATAAAACAGTATGAGTTATACTTCTAATGGAATAATAAACATGAATACTTCTGACATCTCTGGTATTTTAATAACATGATCTTTCTACTTTAAAAGCAGATTTAACCCTGAGATCATACAGCCAATCAAGCAACAGGATAGCATATGTAGAGTTTCTTTCTGTAGAGCAAAGCTGCTGTGAGACGTCTGGGAAATCGCCTTCATGCAATGGTTGAAATGCTGCAACAGCAGTTGTTGGTCCACGGGGATCGTTGTCGGCTGAAGAGCAGTGGGGTTCTCTTTAGGGGAAGACATCTTGGACCCTGGACAGGCCACCAGTCTATCTCACAGAAACATGTTAAAAGCCAAAGTAGCAGCAGAGAAGCCATGTATGCACAGAGAGAACAGGCAAACTTCCTACTGATATACTCCACCTAGGGATTTGAACCCAGGACCTTCTTTCTGCAAGTCAGCAACATAACAGTTGTTCCACTCTGCATTCCTGGAGAGGAATGAATCCAGTTGAATATAAATATGTCTGTATAGCTGAGATAAAGTGTCTAGATATTAGTTCATTTTCTGTATAATAAAGCTAAACTGAACGGCTGCAGACAATGGTTCATTTTAAGACCATCGCTGTAGGATGGAACTCAGCATTTAAATATCTTGTCATACCTTAAATTCTGCGTATAGATCTAATATAATGCAAATTCATTTGGAGCATTTTCTATGAAATTAAAATGTCTTTGTCTAATTGAATCCTTCAGACTGTCATTTTTATTCTTTGAGCGGGCAGCGGGTGGCGACGAAATGAGACTGAGGTCAATCTCTCCTCATTTACCTAACAAAAGCCTGAAAAAAGAAGATAGAAAGAGGAGCTGATGGCTGACACAGACAGAAAAACGAGGGCTTCTAAGACAGATGACCTGCTGCTTCACTTTGAGAATTTTAATTTTGTAACATCTGACACATCAGTCCACATCCTGTCAGCACCTATCAATTACTGTCTGCAACAAACGGTGTCACAGGAACCCTGAGCACCGAGGAGCATCGGGGGAGTGATTAGTGACGGCTCATGTTCTGAAGCAAGACGGGAACAAGAGATGATCTACAAGAGGTTCTGATCCAAACGACACCGTTTGGTCGATGTACCATTTCCAGAGCTCGGCTCTTAAAAACCGTGGGAGAAAAATTTCATTACATCTCCATATTTTATACAGGTTAGGAGAGAAAACCTCAACATCACTTTCTGATAAAAGTATAAAAAATTAAATTGTATTTACTTCCTGTTAATGTTTTTTATTTCTATACTAATTGACTATAACTGAAGAAACTAATTACTTTCCTACATCCACCTGTGA